GTGAAAAGAAATGCCAAAAGCAGACGCTCATTAGCCACACTTTTCGCTTTTCCCTCTTCGCTTTACGCTCTATTTATCAGCCAATATTTTGTGTTGTTTTTTTTTCTTTTTTTTTTTTTTTTTTCTTTCTAATCAAAAAGTTTTCAACTGAATAATTTATTCTTCTTCCACGATTAAATTACCTTATTCTTCCCCATACAGATATATATATTTATTATACTTAAATCTATAATGACTTTAATAATAATAATACTAATTTTTTTTTTTTTGGCAAAGATTATTCTTCGAAGGAATTTAAGATTTTTTTGGAAAACTAAACGTCTTTAAGAGGTTATACTCATTATTTTAATTATTATTATCATTTTTATTATTATTATTATTATTTGGAGAAAAAAAAACAACACGATGAAAACGTAATTAATTGTGATTTTTTTTTGTTAACAACAATCGAAATTTATTTTTTTTTTGAATTATTTTTCTGTAGTATTATTTTCTCCCCCTTTCCCCTCCCCCTACAACCTCAATTACTTATTTATAATTAATCGAATTTTTTTTCCTCTCTCTCTCTCTCTCCACTTTAAAAAAAAAAAAAAAACGTTGAAAATTAATGAGGAAAATATTTATTATGATTTAAAACAATTAAAAAACTTATGGATGATGACATTGGTTTTCCATTATCCTCTTTTATTCTCTATTGATTTCCTATATAAAAAAAAAAAAATTTTCCCTCTTTTTAATAATAATAATAATAATAATACTAATAATAATATTAATAAGTGCGTGTCGTATGTTAAAAAAAATTAACATAAAAATTTTTATATCTTAATACGTTAATACGCTATTTTTCCTCTTTTTTTTCAAATACGAAACAACAACAATAATAATGATAATAAAATTATATTTCCTTGTAAATTATTAAATAAAAATTATTATTATTATTATTATTATAATTAAATCGACGACGGATGATTTTGGCAGGTTTTTTTATAATTTCAACCTTGATTAAATTTATTTTAATCATTAATGGCGGGAAATGAATTGATTCGTTCATAAAAAAAAAAAAAAATTAATATTTTTATCGAAATCTTTTTCACGTGTTTATCGGTTTTATCAGTTGGTTTAACAACAACACCTTATCTACGATTAAATTATTATTATTATTAATATTATTATTATTATTTGTCGTCGTAATAGTAGAGTATTAAATAATATTGTGTTGTGGAAAAATGTGTGTTGTGGTATATTCATCAAAGGCACGTCCTTAATTTATTTATTAAAAATATTAATGAAAAAAATTATAATTTTAATTAATTAAATTTGATGACGTCATTTCCTTTTTTCTTTCTTTTGATAACAGGTATTTAAATACTTTCAGAAAACAAAACAAAAACCTTTTTATTTTTTATCATCGTCACAAAAGGACAATTACGAAGAAACGGTTGGTTTAAATAGTTCTCGGTATAACGAAGAAGATGATAATCATAGGAAAAAAAAAATATACAAAAATGATGTCAAACCCAACGGGGGTTGGGGATGGGCCGTAGTTTTAGGAGTAGCCATAAGCAATGCAAGTATTTATTTAACAACAGCAACAGCAGCAGCGATGATAATAATGATGTATAAAATTGTATTTCAGATGACGACCCAATCTCTTATATCCGTTTTCGGTCTTTTATTCATTCAAAGATTTTCCGATCTCGGTATAACGACCAAAGGTGCCTCGATAATAATGGGAATGCAAACGACGAGTTTAAATTTATCGGGTTTAATCATCGGTCCTGTTATAAAAAAATATTCCTACAGGAAAACGGCAGCAATGGGTGCCATATTAGTGGTCGTGGGATTGTTATTGACGAGACACGCGGATTCACTTATTAAATTTATATTCAGTTATAGTTTATTCACAGGTTAATAAATAACTTATGTATTTATTCAACTTTAAAAAATGATTTTCAAATGGTTTTTTTATTCGTTTTACAGGTTTAGGTTTAGGTTTATTAGGTCCATCGACGTTCGTAGCCATCGATTCGTATTTTAGTAGTCGAAAAGGACGTGCTGTTGGTTTTTCCGTTTGCCGGTACAGGCATGGGACAAATGCTTCTTCCTTTTTTGGTTCAATATTTATTAGGAAATTATGGTTTTAGGGGTACCTTATTAATATTTATCAGGTTGGGCTTTACAGGCTTTTTTGGGGAGCAACATTATATCAACCCATTAAATGCACATGAAGGTAATTTAATTGAATTTAAATTTCCCCTCCCTCCCCCCCTCTCTCTATCAATTTAATAAAATTTTTTTTTCAAAAAATAGAAACAACTCACGTTTCAAGAATCAGAAACATCAGAAGAGGAAGAAAATTTAATGATGAAAGAATTAACGGGTATCGTATTATTATTATTATTCATCTTTTTTTTTTGTGTTGTCTCCCCAGTTTAATTTAAGTTGGCCATTTGTGGTTATAGTAACTTTATCTGAGTCATTACAACCTTGAATTTCACTTTTAAAAAAAAAAATATTTTTTTTTGAACTCGGTCGTAAAACTAGTTCAAATTTAAAAGTTTTTTTTTTTCCTATTTTTTTTACGTAATGTACAAACCTATTATTATTATTATTTCAAAATGATTTAAATTACGCCATATGACCTTTTCATAACTTTTTCTTATTATTCAATTATATTTTTTTTTTCCCAATATTGAATTTTTCGAGTCCTTGAATAATTTTTATTTTTATTTTTTTTATTTAAGAAACGTCAAAAATAAATCCGAAAAATAATGATGAGGAAGAAGAAGAAGGAGGAGGGGAAGGAGGAAATTTTTTAAAAAAATTAAGTAAAGAAATGCACGTGGATTTGATAAAAAATCCATCTTTTGCAAATTTACTCATAGGCCTCGCATTGGTTTATGTTGGAAACATGTGTTTTTCCATGCTTTTCCCATTTTTTCTAGAGGTAAAATAATATCGTATAATAATAATAATATATAATATCACGTGATTAAGTGAATAACAAAATGATTTTCTAGAGCATAGACTATTCTAGGCCTCACATAGCACTTTGCATGAGCGTATTATCAGGTAGCGATATCATCGGACGAATATTAGTTCCTATATTTAGTGATATTTTTAAAATAAAAAGCAAAACAATGTTTTTCTTAGGAGCTGCGCTATCTGCATTCGCTAGATCAGGTATAATAAATAATAAACCTAAAAATTTATGTACAATTTTTAAAAAATTTTAAATTTTTTCCAGCACTCGTCTGGCAAAAAAATCTTACGTCAACTCTTATATTCGCTTCCCTATGCGGAATCGTTCGTGCAGCTTTAATATGTAATTTTAACATGAGTATATCTGAACAAACTGTACCTGAAAAATTACCTTCCGCTTTAGGTCTTCACATGTTATTCAAAGGATTGGCCATACTTGTATTTGCTCCGGTCATAGGTAATAAATAAATTATTTTTATGTTACAAAACATAATTTTTTATACGACCAAATTTTTTTTTTAGGTTTTGTTCGAGACTACACAAAAAGTTATTCGTTTTCTTTACACATATTAAACGTTTTTTTTTTAATATTACCCTTTTTCACTTGGTTAATTGAATTTATTTGTACCAAAGACACGAGAAAGAGGCTGCCGCCATATTGATTATTTATTTATTTTACCATTTAACCCAGTATAAAATTAATTTTAAAAAAAAATTATTTATATTTGTTATTATATTTATATATATTTGTTAACAATTTTTTGTTTTTTTATTGAAAAACTTATTTTAAAAAAAAATTAAAACGAAAGAGGAAATAAATAATGAATAATATTATTTTCAATTCATTCAATTATTTATTAAAAAAATAAAAATTTAAATTTTTTTAATAAATATTCAAAAAAAAAAAAAAATTTTATTTTTTTTGTCTGTTGTTTTATACAGAAAACAACAAATATTTATTGATTTAATTTTTAAAAAATCCAAATAATAATAATAATAATAAAAGTTTTATAATATTCGAAATAAATAATTTATTTGAGAAAATTTTCTTTTTTTTTTTTTATAAGTATAATATTAGTTAAATAGTTAAAATGGCCGACAAATACTCTCTCACTGTCTTTGTCTCGGTGACAAAAACTTTTCCATAATCGTGATTAATAAAAGGAAGAAAATAAATATAAAATAAAATTTGTCTGGAAAACCAAAGGGTCGTCTTGTCGACGCCATTTTTAGACCAAAAAAAAAAAAATAATAACGGTCACACACATATATATATATATTATTTTTCAAAAAGTTTAACGAACAACAACAATAACAACAAAAAAAAAAATTTGAAAAACGTTCGTGTAATTTACATTGTTGCCAAATTGTCATTTTTCTTTATTGAAACAAGTCGTTTGTGGGTGGTATGCGTTTTGTATGCAACAAAGGCACATCTATCAAATTTGAGTATTTTTTTGTTATTATTATAAAAATTAAATGAGAAATTAATTAAAAGTTTTTTTTTCTCTCTTTGGGCAAGAGGGAAGGGAGGAGAGGGGAGGGTAGGGATGAAAAAGGAAAATTTTTTTTAGAATGAAAAAAAAATAAATCGGTTAAAAAAAAAAAAAAGGAAAAAAGAATAAAAATTACCATGACAAATGAGGGAAATTTGGATATAAATTAAAGAGATGGGGAAAAGGAAAAGTTGGAGGAACTGAAACTGGAGAGAGAGAGAAAAAAAAATTTTGGAGGGAGGGAAGGGAAAAATATGACAAGAAAATAATAGAAAAGAAAATTGGGAGAAAAATGAAAAATCCATGAAATTAACGCTCGGAATAATTTTTTTTTTTTTTTTTTTTGACTTCTTTTCAAATTGGTTAGTCAAACACAAACACACAAACACAAACACAGAGAGAATTTCTTTGTCTTTTTTTTTTCTTCTTATTCACTCCAGGACACTGAATTTAAAAAAAAAAAAATTTATTTTGTTTAAATTTAAATAGGTCTGGGGAAATTCTGTTTCCAAATGGTTGAATTTTTTAAAAATATTAAATAGTAAAATTTTTCTTTCTTTTGTGTTTATAAAAAATTATTTATGAGTAATTAAAAAGAGAAAAGAGAGAGAGAGAGAAAAGGTTTTTGAATAACAAATGAACAAAAAAAAAATATATTAATCGTTGTAAAAAAAAATTAATAATTACAAAAGCAACAATTAAAAAATTATTTTCCAAAACACGCATCTGGAAAAAAAAAATGAGAAAATTTCTGGCAAAAGATTTTCTTTTACCGGAAATAAAAATATAAAAGAAATGATTTGCGATGACATAAGGTTTTAGGTGGTAATGGTGATGGTGATGGTGGTGGTGCAGGGTGGTGGTGGTGTTGGGTTAATGATAGAAAGAAAAAAGGAAAAAAAAATTGATAATAGAGAAAAGTGAAGCATTGTTATCTTGAATTCTCATCCTTTACCAATTATCTCAGTACATTTGCCACGTCTTAGCTGGAATTCGTCCAGATGATAAAGCTCCAGTGAATCTTGCATGACAACAACACTCTGCAATTTCTTTGTGGTCCTGCCAAAATCTGCCACATCATTAGCTCTTTTTTTTTTTTTTTTAATATTATTCTTTTCTTATTTAACTTTTTGTTTTATTGTTTTCCTTCCATTTATTTATATAAAAAAAAAAAAAATTAAATTTAAATTTTTATCGCTGCGTCATAATTTTATTGCCACGTTTTTTTCCCCTCCCCTCCTTCCCCCCCCCGAAGCAGATGTGCTAATATAAATTCATTTAATTACATCCTTCCGTTTTTTTTTTTTTTTTAATATAAATTTTATTAAAAATCTCAATAGATGATAATGATGATGCAACGAATGTAAATTTTAAAATGATTTATAAACAATAGAAATTTTTTAACTTTTTAATATAACAAAATAAATAAATAATTTTAACTTTTTAAATTTTATATAAAACTTTTTTGTTACCGACAAAAGTAGTTAAAAACTTTTTCTCCTTCGTGACATTCACATTTTTTTTTTCCTTTTTTAATATTACAAATTAATTCGAAAAAAAAGCAGAAGAAATTTTTTTATTTAAGAAGATAAAAAAAAGAAAATTTTTTATTAAATAATTTTCCATGTTTCGTCACCACCATCGTGTTTTTAAACGTTTCCATCGAATTTTTTTAAAAACTTAAAACATAAATTTTATTATCATTATCATCATCATCATTATTAACATTTCTTTTTTAAATCGAGAAAAATATTAAAAAAAACTTGGAAATTCGGTTGAAATAAAAAGTTAAAAAAAAAAAAGGGAAAAAGGAAAAATTAGTTATTTGTTTTCTCTTTTCAAAAAAAAATCATTCTTGATATCCCCCCACTCCCCCCCCAAAAAAAAAGAAAATAAATAAATAAAATAAATAAAAATAAAAATTAATAAGAATAAAAATGGTTAAGATGAATGAAATCGGATGAAAGGGTAAAAAAAAAAGGTTTTTCTTTGGTGATGTGCCACGAATTTCAATTATTTTCACATCCTTTGGCAAACATTGATTTCCACCCAATTATTTACTATATATATAAAGTTTTTCTTTTTTTTTTTTTATAGTTTCCTTTTACTTTTTTTCAATTCTATATTACTTTTCTTTTATATTGTCAATAAGAAAATGTTTTCCAGTTGAATTTTCCTTTTTTTTTTGCTTACGATTGTGAGGGAAAGGGAAAAACTCGAAAATATTGAAATCAATTTTCACGTCATTAATTATTACAAACAAACAAACAAACGTTAAATTTTTTTTTTTTTTAGTTTGTTTTTATAATAATAACGAAAATATTTTTATTAAAAAAAAAAAAAATATGGAAAATTTATATTATTCAAAAACATTTTTTTTTTTTTTTTAACAAGATATTTTACATAATTTGAGTTTAAAAAAAAAAAAAAAAAAAAATTTCCTTTTGCCTAAAGCAAATAAAAAACGTTTGAATGTAACAACAACAATTTTTTTTTCATTATTCACCTCTTTCAAATTTTTTTTAAATATTTTTTTCCACCGAATTTCCCCTTACCCTCCCTTCCCCTCCTCCCCCATAACCCCTTTCCTCCCCCTCTCCCGCCATTTTTAAATTTTAAAAATCATTAAAAACAAAATTATTCAAATGATAATTTCTTTTTTAAAAAAAAATCATTTTTCATTTATTATTATTATTATTAAAATAATAATGATAATAATAATTTGTTTAAACAAAAACCCAAAATAATAATGATATCACATATAGGTTTTATTTTTAAAAAAAAATTTTTTTTTAATAAATTCAATGTATTATTTAAAATAAAATCACGACGAAGAAGAAAACATAAAAAAAAAGTCATAAGCTAAGTATAAAAAAAGGAATTTTCAAAAAAGTCATCAACATCATCATTATCATCATTATTATTATTATATATTATAAATTATATAGTATATATAAACTCAGGCTTTTTTTTATACAATACGAAAAACAGAAAAGAAAAACATTATTATTATTATTATTATTAATATACATAAATATTTATTTATTTACAAAATTTAAATTTAAATTTAAAAAAAATTCTTATGTTTAATAAATAACATTATTGATTTTTTATTTATTTATTAATTAATTAAACCGTTGAGAGAATTTATTTATTTATTTTTTTATTGTCAAAACACTTTTTTTTAGTGTCATAAAAAAAAAAAAATTATTTATTTATTTATTTATTAACAATAAAAATTAATTAATAAGTGTGAGCTTTTTTAATAATCATTGATGATTAATAAATAAATATATAAAAATAGAAAAAATTATTGATAGATGAATTTTAATTGTTATTGTGGATGAGGCACATCCAGAAATTTTACGATTATTCCCTCCTCCTCTTATCAATGGGATTTGACCACCTCCTTGATTTTCTTTTAATGAATTAAATGTTCCTTTAATTGTATCCCTAGTATTATCATTTGTTAACGTCCAGGTATTTTTACCCGATACCGATATCGATACCTGTTCATTTTCTCTAGTGATGTCATCCCCGTCGCCATCATCATCATCTTCTGCCGAACCATATTGATCCGAATAATCTTCTTCATCGTAAAATGGATTAAATGCACTTGTCGGACTCGGTATTTCTATTTAAAATAAATTTATTATTATTATTATTATTATTATTATTATTATTATTATTATTATTATTATTATTATTATTATTATTATTATGGAACCTGTGACGTGTACGACGAAAATCACATAACAAAAAAACAATTTTTCCTTTTTTTCCTTTTTTTTCTTTTTGGTAAAATTTAATATTAAAATTTTTTTTATTTTTTTTTTTGACAGAAAGAAAATGGAGGGACGTGGGGGAAATGTGGGGGGATTTGGGGGGGGGTTTGTGTCTTTTAGGAATTCCTACGAAAGAAAGTAAAAGTAAAAGAAAATCTAATTTTATGGTAAAAAAATTTTTCAAGAAGAAGATGGAGGCGTTTGTGGTTGTCGTTGAGGTCAGGCATTTTTTTTTCTTATTGATTTATTATTTTAGGAAATCGATAATTAATCAATACATAATGATAATAATGATAATAATCTAACCGTAAAGTCTTATACTGCTATCTACTTCTCCCAATGAATTTTTAGCTATGCACCTGTAGGACCCAACATCAGTCCTTTGAAAATTTCTTATTAATAATATCATTCTAACTTCAAAAAGTGATTTGCTAATTATTTGGACCTCGTACTTATCAGACGATATAACCATTTCACCTAAAACAAACAAAACAAACAAACAAACAAACGATAAAATTAATTTTTTTTAAAACAATAAAATTTTATTCTATCTAAAATTTTTTCTTTTGTTTCTTTGTCCAGAAGATAAAAAAAAAAAAAAATTCACGTTCGAATATATTTTGTATTTGTTCCAGTCACAATTTTTTTTTTGGACAAGACTTATTTTTTTTCCAGAAACATTATTTATTTGAATAAATAAATAAATAAATAAATTATTTATTTGAGGAGAGGATAAAAATTTCTTTTTTTTCATAAACTTTTTTTTTGTAAGACTGCAGTAGTCTCAGTCGAACAATTTTCCCTCTCTCTTTCTCTCCCACATATATTTTCCTCCATTATTTTGTTTATATTTTTCTTTCTTTTTCTCTCCAACTTTCTTTTTTTTTTTTTTTTTTTGTTAAATTAATAAAATATTTACTTTTAAGAAGTTTTCTTCTAATTTACCATCAAAAAAAAAACTGAAAACTTAATCTTCAAGTTTTTCTTTTTTTAAAGGGACAATTTTTTTTTTCGTACCTTTTTTTTTTTTTTTAATTAAAAGTTTTTAAAAAATAATTTAAAAACAATAAATATAAAACAAAAAATTTTTTTTTCTCACACAATTTTTTTTTAACTGTCAAACAAACAAACAAACAAAAAAAATTTAAATTGATCTTTTTTTTTTTGTTTCGTTCACAAGAAACAAACGACGACGACGACAAAAATTTTTTTAAATTAAAATGAAATAAGAGGGAGAAGGAGGGGGGGGGAGGAAAACAAGAAAACTGACTTTTCAATTTCCCCTTTTGATAGAGAGAGAGAGAGAGAAAGAGAGGGAGAGAGAGAGAGAGAGATAGAAAATTATTTGTCCATTTTTTATTCTTACCTGTATCTCGAACCCAATAATTAATGGATTTTGGTGAAGCTTCAACGTAACATTCTAATGCAACATCGGTGGCAAGAGGAGCACCAACCAATTGATTGGGTACTTGAATCACGGGATTAACTAAAATTAACACAAACAATTATTATTATTATTATTATTATTGGGATTACACGTGGATGTAAACCTACTAAAACATAATAATATTATTTTTTGTTTGTTTTTAATTCAATAAAAAAAAAAAAAAAAAAATAGTAAATTGATGATGTTTTTAAAACAAACCGACATCTCACGCACGCATGCACGCACGCACGCACGCATACTCAAATAGAACACGTATTTCTTATATGCATATAACAAACTAAAGCAGACGTACATTTATTATAAAAAAAAAAAAAAAAAAAGTTTAAATTACAAACAGTTGTAGAATTTTTAAAGGGAGTCGCGGGGGAAGGGGAGGGGAGGGGTGGGAGAAAAACAAACCAGAAAAAAAAATAAACAGCTTTGAAATTTTACAAAACTTATCTTTATGTTTGTTTTTCCCGCTTTTTACTTATCAGCCCTCAAACCTTTTTCACCCTACAAAAATTTTATCCGGAATATTTTCGTATTTCTCCTAAAACCCAAAATAGTGGGAAATGGTTGGTAACAGTTACAACAACAACAACCAACAACCAACAACAACAACAAAAGGAATCAAAATTTTCGGTCGTTAACAAAAAATTTTACTTTTTCATCAAAGATTATTACTATTAAAGTTTTACTTACTGTGTAAAATTAAATTTATTATCAACCGAAAATAAATAAGATTGACTAAAACTACAGAAACAATAATAATGATGATAATAATAATAATGATAAGAATTTGTTTAATTAACTTACAATGAACGTTAACCATAATTCTTTTGCTCACTGATGGCGGGATGCTGTTTGATGCAATACATAAATAAGCTCCCATTTCTGATCTTGTTATTCTTGCTAATCTTAATATTTCTCCTTGAAATGTTGCAACTGTAATTAATTTATTTTTTTATCAGTTACCTGTTGATAAAGAAAAAAAAGGTTGGGGGGAGAGGGAAAGGGATAAGAGAGGGGGTGGGACACACGGACGCACACGCACGCGTTTTTTGTTTTAATTTATTAACAAATTAAACATCAAGTTTATGAGTAAAATTATCTCTAGGTCTTTATTATTATTATTATTTTTTAAACTTCTCACACTCCATATTTTCATATAATAACTAGCTGGATTTTCCAAAAAAAAAACGAACGAACGAACGGACGAACGAACGAGACCGAACGTCCAACTTATCTTTTCCATAATTTGAATTTTTTCAATGAACGGACTAAAAAAAAGTTTTTTTTTTATCACTTTGTTAGCTTTTGTTGTTGTTTTTTTTTGTCTTTACGCTTAAATCCTCCCTATACGTTCGTTATCCAGTTTGTTTACCCTCCCCCTACCCTCCTTACCTCTACCCTCCCTCTCCACCTGATTTATGTTTTTTTATTTATGTATTATTTATTATTTATTATTGTGCAATATTTAATTTTTTTTTTTTCTTCATGTACTAACTAAAATGAATTTTTATCATTTTCACGTGTTTGTTTGTTTGTTTGTTTAATTTGTACAAACACAAACACACTCAGGAATTTAATATGTAATGTTTAAAAAAAAATTTTTTAAGCTTCTTATTTAATAAATGAAGGGAAAAGATGGATGGATGGGGAGAGAGGGAAGGGTTACGTTATTTAATTTGTAAAATTAACGTATGCTCAAGTTCTTTTTCTATTCATTCATTCATTCATTCATTCACTCACTCATTCACTCATTCATTCATTCATTATTATTATTATTAATCAGTGAAAAAAAAGATAAATTGAATTTTTTTTTTGTTTTTTTTTTTCTAAAACCACGACAGGAGTTTAAATAATTTTTTTTTTTAACATTGAGTTATTTAAAAATTTATATAAAAAAGAAAACAAAAAAAAAAAAAAGAAAAAAAGGAAAAAAAAGGAAAAAGAATAATAATAATAATAAGAAGAAAAAGAAAAGGTAGATAGACGCATACCTAAAGAAAGCCTTTTCCGGCCAACTTTTTTTTTTTTTTACTTTTATTATTTTTTTCCCGGGAGACCTTTGGCGAAAGACTTTTTTTTTTTCTTCTTATTCGCGCTTTTTCTCTCTCTCTCTCTCTCTTTTCTCATCCTCCAGTTTAATTTTTATTTTTATTCGAAAAGAAATCATTCTTACATAAAATTTACCTTTGAAGCTTAAAAAGCATTAAAAGAATTTTTTTTTTTTCTCTTTTTTTCTGAGTGAAGACAGATTTCAATTTCCGAAAAAAAAACTTTTTGGGTTGAATCTCATTTATTTTCACGGTATATTTTTTTTTTTAAAGATATCGAAAGAGAAGAAGAAAAAGAAGAAGGAAAAAAAAGAAATAGAAAAGGGAGAGAGAGAGAGAGAGAAAAGAGGGAAAGAAAGAAAGAAAGAAAAAATTTAAGCTTTTATTTTCACCGAAAGCTTTCAAAATTGAATGATAATG